ATTCGCACAACCTTACTTTGAAAATGCGCGCCAAAACGCAACAGCTGCGCTATCTGCACCAGGTCCGTGTGAGTGAGGAAACAAACTTAGTCCCCCGCCTTTTAACATTGAGTGAACCGGCCCTGATGTGCACGGACTTTGCAGACATCATGGATTTGTTGGACTGGTTTGGGGAATAGTGGACAATAAAGAAATTATGCATTTATTGGAAATGTTGTGTGTTTTGCAGTGATGAATTATTTTTGGGTTGAAAATGATGTGCGTAAACATTGTTTTATGAGTGCGAGAAAAAAATGTTGAGAATGTAATATAAATGTCACGGTGCCGTCCTTCATAAGGGTTATGTCAACTAGCTTCTTCGTTCTGAGCTATAGTCGCTTCAAATTTACAGAGTTCGTATTGTTTTCTTTTTAATTTTATAACTTGAAATTATTGTTCAATTGGTATCAAATATAACATTCGAGTTGAAAATAATTTTAATTGTTTTAATCGGCTACTCAGCTTACTGAATATTCGTAGAATCAAAACAAACTGGGTTTATCCAACATTAATCACCCAAATGTATATTCACAGCTATATAGTTCAAGAAGTTTTTCTTTGTTACATTGCCATTAATAATACATAATCAATAATGTGTGAAGTGATTGTATATAAGGAAGAAAAAAGATAAAATGTTGTGATAATGACATTTAAAATTATGATAGTAATTTCTGTAACTCTTAATTAATGCCCTTAAGAAAAAAATTTTATTATAGTTAAAAAAAAAAAAAATTGTTTTAGTGTTTCAGATGTGCACAAATTTATATCTTTTCATGAATTTGCTCATGGAACTGTCATTGATGTGGCTTGAAGAAAGGTAAAAATGGCAGATCCATCATCAGAAGATGAAGGCCTTCTAAGGGAATGGGCCCCCCTTACAAATTTACTCCAACAAATTCCTCTGAAGGCCCAAAGGGGAATTTTCACTCATGAACTCAATTTGACATGTGTTGATGCATTGTCAGATTTCATTGCTTTAGGAACAAATTTAGGACTGGTATATTGGTACAGCCGAAGGAAGGGAGATCTTCAGAGGCTACGGTGTGAGGTTAGTTAAACTCTTTGCATGTATTGTTTGAGAATTCTTTGACTTTTGAACTTAATCTTCTGTGTTTGGAAAGTTGATCACAAACAAACATAGCAAAGGTCTTATTGACAGTTACATAGTATGATAAATATAAATGATCATGATATGATCAATTTATGTCCCTGAGGCTTTCAACGAGAGTTTCTAAAAATGGAAAATAATAATGTTTTTTATAAAGGTAGGAGAGACACCAACCTCACAGACCACCTATAAATGGAGAAATAAAGATAACTTTTAGACTTCCAAAATACTTTTTCAATTTAATTCTTATATTTTATCAGAGTCTACAGTGGTAAAGATATTTTACAGTATTTTACTTTATTAGATATTCTACTGTTGTAAAACTATTTTCAGTGGGGAAAAAAAACAGGTTCCTCAACGTTCAGCTAGGGAGGAATTCTTCTGGAAACACATTTATTACCATCTTAAAATAAGTCTGTAATCTTTTCACCAGCTTATCAATGACTTTTGCAGAACTAAACAAATTGTCTGCAAGGATATTTCTGTTTGACTCTTCAATGAGTTTGCATACATGAAGAATAACTTGAGTGGAAATGCGTGGTTTTTGCTCTTGCTCAGGCAGAAATTATCACTCTCTTTTCACACGTATTACGGACTGTATCAGCCTCTAACAGGGAATAACTTCTTGTCTTCTATGGTATAAGAGAACACACAATACATGTTCAAATTTGATATACATTTGTGAAATGTATAAACATAGCTTTGTCATTTTTTCTTGGGCCCTGGTTTTGACATGGCCAAACCTATGTAAAACTGGACACGAGAATTGCTGTTGATCCTCTGACATTATAGCGAAAAATTTGGCCTTATAAATGAGCCTCTAGAGAAAATTGAAAAATGTTATCATTAAATTTTAGAACCGATAATGGTTAAAGTAGACTTACACAGAATCAATATCTTCAAAACAACTCCGTCTCTTATTACTTTTATTCGTCCTCTCGTCTAGATGGGCCCTCACTCTTTCCATCATTATGTTCATGTTCTCTTCTAATTTAGATTCAATAATTTTATCATCAAATAATAATTTGCAAACATGAGTTTTTGCTGTTCCCTAGTGACTTCAGTTCACCATTTATTCCTTTCAATCCAGTTATAATTATTTAATGAACTGGAACACTACACCGATTTGTAGGACAGTGCATTTCTCTATACATTATGAGTCTTTTGTTCAATCTTCAACCTTTCAACATAATATTGTGATAAATGGTCATGTCCTGTGTCTTCTTTTGTGCCACAATGCATTTACCAACAGTCTGCAACTTTGGCCACTATAGTCAGGATCATCTTGATAAATTGGTCGATCCATTACAATATTTTGGAAACAAAAAAATCCAAATTTACATTCAAAATAGCCAACAAAAAGTGTAATGGATCATCCATCTTGCTAACCACAATACACCATGACGGAGACAATCAATCTTGGAGACTGCTATGCAAAATACAGAAAGAGAAACAGTCTCGCAGATTGCCATGATTTTGAGGTACTGAATTGCGATGTAGCAGAGGTTCAGAGAGGTAGCATTGGTGTGTCCATACTGTTCGCTCAAATCTGCTGCAATTGCATAAAAACCTTTTCCTCAGATCCTGTAAGTCTGATGCTGCCAAATAAGTGTTAAATATTCTCAGAAATGGCTTTTGAAAAGCATCTCTTAATTTTTTAATTTCATGAAGTTTAAATGTACAGAGGCAAAAATAGTTCTGCCTTTAATTATAAAAGTAATGCTTTGAAATTGAGTTAATGTGTTGAAGGTAGGTTAATAGTAGATTATTATTTTGATAAATTTACTTAAATTTTTTAAAACTTTTTCTCCATAGTATATCAATTTAGTAAAATAGCACGATTATTTAATTATATATTGTACAATTATTGCAGTTGTTGGTCTTAATGCTTAAGTCATAATCATTTTTAATAGGTTAACAATCAGTATTGTTGGAGCAATTAAGAGTATTTGTCTAAGTGACAAGAAATTTAAATTTGTTTCAAGAAAATAGTTCTTTTGAAATTAGAATTCTTTAAAAGCCTGATGTAATTACTGTTCTCAAAGATGGGAATCATAAATTCACAGTAATATTTAATAAATTTGGAAATTTCCTCGGTTTGAAATTGTTTAAAAAAAATTGTGGATAAAATACATTGTCATTATCACTAGTTATTATCACAGGTTAAACTGATTGCCTACTCTGAAAAGATCTGTTTGCTGAGTTTCTTAGTACCAGATTCTGAAATGAAAATCATTCAATCTCTTTAATGTTGGTTTTTTGATGTTGCAAGTTTGTTTGATAAAATGATCTTTCAGATACATTGTAAAGTGATTAATGTAATTTGGGGAAAATCCTAGTTCTATGGAACTTGAGATATGAAATTAAAAGACTGGACTGTTGTTTGCTATTATTGAAAGGAATGCTATCTTATTTCTTTTTCTAGAATACTGCATCCGCAATAACCTGTGTAAAAGTGATATCCACTGTGGATTATATGTTGGCTGTTGGCAATGAGCAGGGTATGGTGACAGTTTTCCAAATTCCAAAGGAACCGCCAGACAGTCTCCCGGAGAGCATGAGGCCTGTGAGAAAGAAACAGGTAAGGTGAAAAATTGGATAGAAAAAATCATATGTTCCAAACATTTTTAAACGCATCCCACTATTTTTAAGAAATGTATGTCAATTTTGTATGTAAATCCTATTTTATTAACATATTATTTGTTATAAAGAATTAATTGCAGTAAAAATTGACTTTTTTTCAGGGAAGGGGGAGGGAATGTGTGTGAGAAAAATGTTCACCTGAAAATCAGGAAAATTTTGGAACAAAATAAATATTCAAGATTTTGTTTGTTTCTTTTCTATTCGAATCGTGTGAAAAGATTGATCTGCAACTGTTTTTTTTTTTTCTCTCTCTCTCTCTCTCTCTCTCTCTCTCTCTCTCTCTCTCTCTCTCTCTCTGAGCCTGAAACATACATTTCCCCCACAACATGTAACAACTATCCCTTGAATACTTGAGTCTTGCATATTTTGTATTTCCCAAAAATGTGCCAATTAAAAATTTTGAAATAGTTATATGAGTCGTTATTGCCAACAATATTGTTTACAATAATACCAGCTTTCCATGACTTAGCCATCTTTATCAGTTTTCTAGAACAAATAATATATACAACATTAAAATATGAATAAAAAACAAAATTAGGATAAATAGATACATAAATTTAAAATTTAAAAAAATAGTATTAACATTTTAAGAACTGAAAGAAAGAAATGGGGATGTGAAATCATTTAATATTACAAGAAAGTGAATGAAATTAAATAGATTGTGTGAAATTTTTGTAACAGAAAACATGAAAATATTAGTCGAGGCATTTAAGTTTCATGTTTTCTGTTTCAAAAATTTCACATGTTCAAATTCAATTTCATTCACTTTCTTGTAATAGTTTAACCGCATTTCTTTCTTTCTTTCTGTTCTTAAAAGTGTTAATTCTATTTTCTATATTTTAAATTATTATTTATCTTAATGTGGTTTTTACTCGCATTTTAATGTTTTTATATTTCTTGTACTAGAAATATTAGCCATCAAAAGCTGCTTTTGTAATAAACAATATTGTTGGTAATGACTACTCATATAATTATTTCATTGTAATTGCCAATGCTAACTCACCACAATACCAATATTCCTTTGTTTTGCTAACATCAATAGAGAGTTGATAGGCCTTGCATTTCAACAAAACTAAACAACCTCAACTTTGAATCCAACATTCTTTGAGCTCCTCGAGGACAATGTGATTGTTTTCATGTATTGGTCATCTACGCTGCTGGGCTGGTTATTAAATTGTTTATCATCAATAAAGTATCACATGCGAAAAGTTAATTTTTTGCTTTATCATAATTTGGTGGTTGCTTCAGAGGTGATATGCACTGGCACATTGCATTCTTTTCTTTTAAGAAGTCTTAAATGACAAATGCAAAGAATTGAAATGATGAAAGCCCTAATCTTTGTTTGAATCAATTGAGCTTTCTGAAAAGTAGTGATTTTTACATTTGATACTGCACAGTTTACACTAAGGTCATTATATGGTCAAAAGAGACTTCTATTATGGATTTGGAAGATGTATAAATGTAGAGTGCATATCTGAGGTAATTTAGCATGGGAAGTAGGAATGACTTTATCAAAATAGATAAAAATGGAAAACATTCAAGTGCAATATGTGTAAGTCAAGTTTAACGGTAAATTAATCAGATATAGATATTCACTATCATTTATGGAATTAGAATTGCCTATTATGTTATTCAAAATGATTGAAAATAGCTTCTATTTAAATGATTTACTTTCATTAAACTTTTAATTTATATTTGTGTTTCCTGTAACTACAGTGGAGTTCTGTAACCTTTTCACATTTTTGTTTATTTAAGTGTCTTATGAAAAAAATTCAATTTGTTTGCCATGACTTATAAAACTCTTCGTCTCATGATTACTTTGCCTAATGGGAAATTATTAATTTCTTTCATTAATTTCCAAATTAATTTCTTGATTAACACTATTCAACAGAACTATGTAGTTGGTTTTTGTCTTTAAGAAAAAGCATCTAGTTGATCCTAAGTTTAAGGTGGCACAGTTTCTTTGAATCACTAATTCAGTGTTCACTGATTAAGTGATCAAGAATAATATTCTGTCTCTGATTCAGAAAATTATTTTATTCAAAATTTGTTAGTGGAAATGAAGAAATTGAGGTATTATAGTTTTTCAAGATATCAATGGAATTGAAATTGTCAAGACTCAAGAATAATTCTTGAGCCTCTCAAGAAGACTCAAGAACAATTTTCTGTCATTCATTCAGAGAAAATTATTTTATTCAAAATTTGTTAGTGGAAATGAAAAAATCGAGGAATTATAGTTTCTCAAGATATCAATGGAATTGAAATTGTCAGTACATCAATCTATAATTGTGTTCAAATTACCTAAACTTATGAGTTTTTGATTTATGCAAGTGTATAAAAAAAATTAACTCATTTAATGACTAATAAAAAGATATAAAAAATATATAGAAACAAGAATATCTCCCACACTTCATATGTACAAACGACCTCTAGAAGCCATAGATATCTATAAACTAGAGTAAATATGTGTTGATTGAAATTCTTATAGCTGTAATGGCTTCAACATTATTAAGGAAAAAATCCAGATGATGACCAAGACATCTATTTTGAAGGTTGTTTTATCTTTTTCTGTTGAAGGTTGAAAGATACACCATCAATGGGTTACACACTTCATCAGTCACAGCCATAGAATGGAGTTTGAATGGTATGAAATTATTTAGTGGAGATAAAAATGGGCTAGTTGTTCTCACAGAAATTGATTTTTATATGGTGAGTGATGTGTAATCTAATTTAATTTGTGCAAATACTCCAGTAATAAAGAAAATTAACATTGGTTTTATTTTAAAATTTGCATGTTCCATTCTAATTAATAATTAATTTTGTGGGAATGACACTAAATAAAAAAATGCTTGGTTGTGTTACTTTAAGTACTAGAAAATCTAATGCTTTATGCACTATTGTGTGTAATAATTACATCACAAAGTGAAAGTGTTGTTAATTACTGTAGTGCTTCACTGATGGCATAAATTGTTAAATTTCTCAAAAACATTATTAATTATTACACATTCTTCTTCCAGCATCTCAGCAAGTCAGTTGAGTTATTGAATGAAAAATATGAAATAGTTCAACTTAGTTACTGTCAGCAATTATTGCTAGTCTCGACCACATATCGCAGTATTGTTTGTCATCGAGATGATCGATGGCGGGTCGCACAAGTTGGTCAAAAGGAAAGGAAATCGTGAGTATGATTTTTAAACCTCGTATCACATCAAGGATGGTCAGGAAACTTTAAGAATTAGGAGGAGAAACTTGAATTTGAAGTAGTCAGGAAATTATTTTGAAAATCAGAATGTTTTTTATTATTTTTAGTTTTGTACTTTACACAAATAACTATATTCAGAAACTTAGTGTGCATTAATGACGACCTTTAAAAATATTAAGTTCCATAAATAAAATCATTCTTCATGTGAGAGCGAAGCCATCACTTGCTATTTGACTCTGGATTCCATGGATTTGAGAGCTGAAAACAAGTGCTTGAACATCCTCATGCGATATTCAGTGTATGGACCTCACTGCGGCTCTGGTTGCTGCTGGAGTTTGGAAAATGGAGGCTTCCATGCTAGCTAAGCTGCGAAAAGATCTTCAGTTTCAAAACGTCATGTTCTTGGCCAAGTTGATATCACATCACACTAACACATTCTATTTCTTTTCCCCTTTCTCTCTCTCTCTCTCTCTCGCTCTCGCTCTCTCTCGCGCTCTCTCTCTCGCTCTCTCTCTCGCTCTCTCTCTCTCGCTCTCTCTCTCTCTCGCTCTCTCTCTCGCGCTCTCTCTCTCGCGCTCTCTCTCTCGCGCTCTCTCGCTCTCTCTCTCGCTCGCTCGCTCGCTCTCGCTCTCTCTCTCTCGCTCTCTCTTTCTCTCGTTCGCTCTCTCTCGTTCGCTCTCTCTCGCTCGCTCTCTCTCGCTCGCTCTTTCTCGCGCGCTCGCTCTTTCTCGCGCGCTCGCTCTTTCTCGCGCGCTCGCTCTTTCTCGCTCGCTCGCTCGCTCTTTCTCGCTCGCTCGCTCTTTCTCGCTCGCTCGCTCTCTCTCGCTCGCTCTCTCTCGCTCGCTCTCTCTCGCTCGCTCGCTCTCTCGCTCGCTCGCTCTCTCGCTCGCTCGCTCTCTCGCTCGCTCTCTCTCTCTCTCTCGCTCGCTCTCTCTCGCTCTCTCTCGCTCGCTCTACCTCTACCTCTCTCTCGCTCGCTCTACCTCAAAAAAATGGACTGTGCACCATTTTCTATTTCTATCACCAGACATTATTATATTAAAGTTTCAGCAGTATAACCCTTGACATTCATGATGACTTTAATTTCATTAATATTTGATAGCTTCGCAGGTAATTTGCTGAATCAACTTTAACTCTCGCATGAAATATCTCTTGAACCAGGTCTCCAGCAAGCAAATTGGCAAGCATTGATCTGTTGAGGAGTGGATATTTGCAAATTTTTTTGAGTAGCTAATATAAAATTTCAAGTAAATTAGTTATTGCTCATGTAGAGATCATATTCAAAAGAACTTAATTTACTTAAAATGCCTCTGAGTAGTCAAAGGTTAATTGCTGTGCTTAATGTTTCCAGGCTAGGTAAATTAGGTGCTACTTTCTGCTTGGGCTCTGGGCGACCGCAGGATCTCACAGTCTACGCCAGTAGGCCTGGTCTTCGTCTCTGGTTGGCTGATAAGAATGGCATTGTTCAACAGACTTTAATCTACAAGGTACATTGTTCATTGAACGTTGAACACTAAAAGTGACAGTTAAACCTCTGGGGCCCTCCAAAACACAATTTTCCAAATTCTATGTAGACTTACTTCTAATACAGTATGGTCACTCTCCAATCGTTTGTGTTAATTTTAGAACAGTTCTCTCTGTATTTGTTTCTGAAGTCTGAAGAATACTCAATTGAAACTTGCTGGAAGTTTTGTGAAATACTCATATTTTAAATTAGAAAAAGTTTGGAACCCAGCGTGTTTGTTTTCTTGCAGTCTTTGATTTCTTGTATCTTGTGCATCAAGGGAGGGGGGGGGGTAAGCCAGTGGGGCATGAGCTTCCCTGTTGAAGCCAAAGGTATTCACAAATATACTTTTAACTAATTTTCTGTTGTAACAAATATAATTAAGTATGTCCCTTAAATATTTTATAAATAAGTATAAATCAACAATTAAACATAAGTTTTGAATTCCAAATAGATGAAAAATTCTTCATAAGAAAATGTTGAGTTGACTGGTCACTTCACCTATCATCCTATCTTCCCCTCCAGAAAAATCCTTATTTTGCCTCTGGTCTTGTAAGTTGTAGCAGCAGGTTAATGCTAGTGATTTGTTTGTTTATTAAAAGTATTTACAGGCAAGAGTACAACTGGTGTAGCCTCAATCACTGCTAACATAATTCATAATTGAGATATTGTGTGTGATATACATTTTGGAAATAGCAAAGGTTAATGAGTTTAAAAAAAATCCAAATAGCATTCGAAGATACAAAAGTTGCAAAGGTTTCAAACTATTGTATTTTTACAGATAAACAATAATACAAGAACAGTGCAATATGTAGTGTGTGAATACAAGCAACTATCGTCCATTGGGAAAAGCCATAATAACGGTAACAAAATGTGTATTTCATTTGCTGCAGGACACTATGATGCAGGAACATCGGCATGTGCCCTTGATCAATCCCATTCCTGCGCACATGAAAAATGCACGCGGGGATCATACGTTTGGGCCTCTCCGTGTTTTCAAAGACAACCTTCTAGTGACCTACAGCCAAGACACCGTGTATGTGTTGAACCCAACAGATATATATGTGGTGGCAACGGTTGCTGACTTGCGACATGTCCAAGATGTCTCTGTTACCAAGGATGAAATATTTATTCTTGAGGGAGATAGGAGCATTATTCGAGTGGCTTATCTTCCGGAGGCAGTGTTGGAGCCAGGGCATGGTGAGTTACAGATTAGTTTATTCTGTAAATAGGAAAATGAAGTTGTGTAGTATTTTTATTTGTTCAATTACTATCAGATATTGAAGAAAATGACTAGTCAAACAGACCTTACTTTATTATTCCACATTTCAATCATACAATGGGGTTTACTGCAAGGTTCTACCTAAATGAACACAAAATTAAATAACAAATGATAAAATAGTGGTAAAATTATCAGAAGTTGAAGTTTAAACAAAAATGTTTTTGACAAATTTACTAAAAGGTGAAAGTTCAAACATAAATAAACATTTTTTAAAATTGATTCTAAGAATTTCCAAACTTATTGCACAATTTCAAAAAGGAATTTCTATTGGTATTTAAATTAATATAATTTGTTTATAGTGGTTATTGGATAATGTTTTATTGTCATTATTTCTTTTTCTGTTCATTTATATAGACACGCTAAGAAAGGCCCAATATAGGGTTGAAATGTGGAGAAATAAAGTATTGTCTGTTTGTGTGGTCGTTTTGTGCCCTATTTGTGACCAAATTTGTGTTGAATGCTTCTGTGTGTGTTGCTTTTGTGTAGTCACACTCCTTACACCATGGTTTGGGAATAGATCCAAAATTCATTTTCGTATATTTAATTAATTTAAAAAATAAAATTTTATTTAAAAAAGATGTAAAGTAATTTATTTAAATTCTTTATATAAAAACCTTTTTTTTTTTTTTTTTTTTTTTTTTATGATTCTTCATTAAAATTTGAAAATGTCAAAATCGTCAATAGTGTTTTTCGCATTGCCAGTCCGCCAGTCATTTCTGATTTTGTTATTAAATATCTAGAGAGTTCAGTTTTTAATTTATCTGACTTGCTTTCTGTCATTTAACATTCATTGCCCAGCTGTCTCATTCAGTTTTATTAATTTTTGAAATAGTTTAATATTCAAGACGGTAGTAAAAACATTCAATAATACATTTTGTTATTACCTAAAAAAATTCAGAGACCCATTTCTCAGGTTCCCCATTGTTCTCAATTCTTCAATACAGAACTGATATTTGTTATTATTTCCAATGTGGGTTATAAAAGAGGATGTTTGTGACACCACGAAAACAGTGAACTGGATGTGCCGCAATGGCAGTTATCTATTTCCGGTCAACAACCTGCCCAAAAAGGAGACATGAATAGATGTGAAAGGAATGTATTGACTCGAGACAGCATCCCACGTTGAAGTGTTAAACAGTTATTCTTCCACAGCGTTTAAAAAAAATTAACTTTGTTCTTAGTTCTATGAATGGGTGGAGGGTTTTGAACTAGTTCTGGGTTGTTCTGTTCTTGAAGAAAGTGCACTGCTTTAGTGACCTGTCAATGTCTGCTTTGTGTTTTGTAGTATTCTGATGCTTGCAAATTCTGTGCAGCTCCAGTTTATTTTGCGTTTGATTTCTAGATTAATTAATTGATTGATGGGAGGTGACTAAAAACGCAATTGAAATCCGAGATGTACGTACTGGTTGTGTTTGTGACACATTATTAGAACAATTCTGAATCTAAGATCCTTTTCATCAGAAATTTAATTTGAGAACACTTTCATATTGTTCTTCAATGCAACATGAGAGGTCAACTTAAAATTATATATAATTTTTAAAATATATTTACTCTCTGACCAAAGGATATTGGGTGATAAAGAGAAGAAAGATTGAAAGTAGAAACATACTTTTGAGGATAATTCTTAATTTCAATATCTTAATTTAACTTTCAAAATATGTCCAGCAGTGAAGCCCAAAATACATCAGTTTTCCTACTTCGTTATTTCCCTTAAAATCATAATGTATTTATTTCTAGATTTAGATTCATTAAAAGCAAAACTTCTACAACTTCTTTAACACTTATTCTTGTTCTGGCGTACCTCATCTGATCAAAATAATTTCATAAATTTAACTGTATCATCCATCATTTGTCATTTTCCAGTACTACTTTATTCATCATAATTTAGGATATCTTTGATGATTTCCTGCTCTGTGTCAAAGAATTAGTCTGATGCTTTTCCTATATTAACATTTGTTTATGTAATTAGAGACATTTGTTCCTGAATCCATTTTCCTTTAATTTTAAATTTTGTTAATTGAGTTTGTGATGATCTGAAATCTAACAATTTTTATTAATATAGATTGCAAAATATGTATAATAAAAAAAAATAGAAACACACATACTAGACATTAAAGCCTGGTAGCTTACGTGGTTAAGGGCATTTTCCTATTATTCAAAATCTTATAATAACCTCTACTTTCATTCATTCATTCATTCATTCATTTCTAACAAACACAACAAAACAGGAAATTAGAAACATAACATAGAGAACTTCACCCAACAACAAAACAGATGATCTCTAGTTAGGTATTATAGTTTTTTGATTACCAACTTCTGTTTCAATATCACTCTCATCATCTTTTCAAGATTCTTATTTGTTCAAAGTCCACAAAGTTGTTGTCATCAGATCAGAGAAAATCATTCACTTCTGACCCATTGTTAAAAAAATCCTCAATTTCCAAAGTTGACTGTCAATGTGATATATTTGGTTACTGAAGCAACATTTGTTTCTGAAGATTTCTTGAGAATGTGTGAAGTGTCTTATTTTACTCACAAAAGTAAATTTTAGGTTTTATTACATATTTCTTACTTTTGCCAAATATTCAGTAATTATTCACCATTACATGTTTTCACCGCATTATGATTTTCTGAAAGAATTAGTTGTCAATATTTATTCTTCTCTCTCTCTTTTTTTTAAATAAAAAAGTCAATAACATACCATATTTTGTTTCTTAAATTGGAATTTGATGGGCAATGAAGTCGCCTTTACAGTTATTTAATTGTTTCCTGTTCCCCAGAAGCGCTCTGGTATCAATTGTAGAAGTATAAAATGCTTTTTAATGAAGACAGTTTTGTGTAAAAAGCTTCTATTCTCGCATCTTATTTTTGTGAACCATGTGTTGTGTATTCATGGGTTAATATTTGAAGCTGTTCAACCTGAAATTCATCTACAAGAAGATGAAAAACGAAGATTAACATGTGATTGCTAAAGCATCTTAATACGTTGTAAGTATCATTTGAAATCTAGTTTTTCGTAATTGAATTTGTGACAATATTAATATTACATGCTCATACTGTATTACCTCAATTTTAATATTTACATAGGTTAAGCATATTTGTTTTTCAGGTCCATAGTTTACATAAATATTTTTAGTTTTTTTGTCATTGTATTTGTTGAAACTGCTCGTATTCTTTTGGAATTTGTAATATTTAATACTAAGATTGTGATTTATCTAATACAAATTAATGACAGTATTGTTAAGGGAAAATTTCAAAATATTTTCTTCTAATTAGTTGAATGTTTTTATTGAAAGATTTGTGGAAAGAATGCTTGCGGCTTCATGTAAGTTTACTTGCGAAGGATACTTTGAATCACTTTCTGTTTTAATGATGTGTGTGCTATTGGACTGGATCTTTGATGTAGGTCGTGCATTTAATAAGAGAAGCTGTATTTTCTGTAATTCTGTATCTTCAGAAGAATTACTTCTGTCCCGAACCTCCATTACAGTCTTCAATATACATCATGCAGAAACACACTATATCATTGCGTAACTCAAAAATGTTGTAACCTAGTGTCAACCAGGGTTTTTTGTACTTGTAGGGAGTCAAGTTACAGTTTTCATGCAATGATCTACATTGGTTGACATTTTTAGATGTTTTATTACATTTATTGGAGAGTTCCCTCACTCTTTAGAATGGGTTGTCAAAAATACTGGTAGTTGGATTCCAGTGGAAAGCTATTTCATTTTTAATTCAGTGATTTTTAAGTTTTATTTTTGGGTGATTGCAATTTCTTTTTGCTTAATACCTGTTCAGCTCTTCTATTGTATGTTTTGGGGTTTCTGCTCTTGTCAGTAGATTAGCTCCTCTTTCATCTCTCAAGGAAACCACTGTATAATCTACCATGCTAACATTTGTAGAAGTATTTGGTAATAAAAATTCTGAATTTCCAGATTAATAAGTGTAGAAACTGGTAAAGGAGCATGGCAGTAGAGTATGCAATGGAACATATAAAGAGACTTAGGGGATCATAGGAGGAACATAGGGAGAACATGTTGTAAACATCTGAAGAAGTTGCATGGAACATGTGGTGAACGTGCAAGAAATACTTCGGAAGACATTGAATGGGAAGGGCGGAGGGGAGGGCTGGGTTATGTTTCTTAAACAATGTTCTACATAACAAGATCCCACCCCCCTCTCCACAGCATACATGGGTGGTCAGAAGCGAGTAGCAACTCCAAATCTGTGCAAAATTAAATTTACCCAATTACCCAAGCCATCATGCCGGGCTTACAGTGCTTTAAACTTAGTTCAGGGGCTGGCTCTTCGAAGTTGAAATACTTTTAAAAACTTTAATTTATAAAGTACGGAATACTCACAAGGTTTCAGCTATTAATATCTATTATAATTAAAATCCTTTATTTATATAGTTACCTTTAAAATTTAATTTGATAATAAAAATAAATAATCCTACATATTAAAAATATTTTTCAAAAATTTTTTCTCTGTTCCTTTGTATGAACGAAAATATTAATAAACAAATATTCTTAGGTTTTAATATGAGCGTTATTTAAAATTCTACTCTTACATCTTAATATATTTGATTCCAAAAGTAATTGTTTACATCTATCTCTATTTTGTATAAATATAAAATAGATGTTAAATTGGAAATGTTTGGATTGCTTTTTGGTATATAATAGGCAAGTTAAGTGGTTAATTGAAGATGAGGATAATGATGGTAATAATAATAATAATAATAATAATAATAATAATAATAATAATAACGATGATAATAATAATAATAATAATAATAATAATAATAATAATAATAACGATGATGATAATAATAATAATAATAATAATATAGTGATAATGATAATAATGACTAATTTCAGAATAAAATTGTTAAATAATTGTAAAATTGCCTTTATTCTTAATTTAAATAGACTACTATGAAATATATTATAAGAAGACACAGCAACATGCTAGTGAACATTTATTTGTACATTTAGCTTTGGCATACTACATTTAGACTGGTATTCAGAAAAACTACACACATCTTAGGCATATTTTTTATTGACTTCCCATTTTGCAAATTCTCTTCAATGTTTTATGTTTCAATTTGTTCATAAGTTTATTTTAAATTATATGATAGTCAATTGAATTTTTTTTACTAAAACATTCAAATTCTTGTTGGTGTAATTTGATCCATTGGAAATCTGTGTCATTTTCTTATTAAGAACTAGAACTGGAACTGCACTTTTTTCTGTTTTTTTTTTTTTCTGTGTCTTGAAGCAAATATGCCATAAATGTCTGGTTTTTTCTTGAGGCTTATTGTAAATTGCAAAATGTTTTTGTAAAAGTTCACATGAAGCAGCAATTATCTGAATTTTTTTACTCAATACAATGCATGTTAATAAAAGCAATGTTAGCCCACTTCCTTCTATACATTTTGTGTGTTTGTGGGTATATCTGTTCAGTGCCCTTTGTAAATACTTCTTTTCTCTTCCATAAGGACTTTATTTTGATAATTCTTGCCACAAAACAATTTTTTTTAAGTCTTATTTCTTTTTTGCATTGGTAATTATTTCGTTACTGATTATTATTCATCTCCATATTTTGCATTATTTATTGAATTGGATATACATGTTGACAGCTGGACAAAAACAAAGATGTCAATCGAAAGTTTTGAAAAAGATAATTGGAGAATCAGATGCTTTCTGTATCCAATTGCCTTTTAATCTCTCCTGTATGTAACAGAGAAAGGTAGCTTATGCTAAAAAAATCTATGTCAAGAAGTTTTGATAAAAATCCAAGATTTGGGAGTTCCTGGGGAAAAAAGTTTTTTTTTTTTCTTTCTTTTTTTTTCTTTACACTATTGATACTCTCTCATTAATTTAGCTCTAAGCCCTGTGACTTGAAAACATATCATTTAATTTTTTTTCTGGGGTGGGGAGATTAACATAAAGTTCATACTACAAAAAGTTTTCAAAATTTTCTCAAAAAACTTCAATTTTTCCTTTCATTCTCTGGTATTGATGGAGCCCAAGGTGTAGGATTACTGAGCTGACTAGTTTCGAAACAGAAGATACTCAATTGCTTACATAGAATAACATGAGCATTATTTTGATGAAAAGTTCTGAATTTTGAAAACTTATTTTTTTTAACACCACCTACTATAAGAATTTAGAGTAACATTTCAGGTGATTTAATGCATTGGTGGACCCAAAAGCTTAAAATTATCTCTCATGAAATTTCTCAGTCTTAAAAAGACATAATCAATTCTTTTGAAATATAAGCAAGGCCAATGTGTGATGCATTTCCAAACATGCTTAAAACTACTCTCAATAGCTCAATTTTTCGAAATGTGTGTTTTAATAGGAAAGTAGCTGTTCATCTAATGGTCACACAGTTAGCAAGCACAAAATGTTTTAATCTATTGTGGTGGTAATGCAAATGAATTTTAATTTCACATTGCATTAATGTTTTAAATTTTCATTTATCTTAGAATTATTTTATTTTATCTTGGTCATCGCTATGCCAACTTTTTTATTTTTCCAGCTAGAAACTGTTTGTAATGTAAAGAAATAGTAATGCAAAACGTATGGCGGTTTTGCTTATTATTTCAGAAAATATATTTCTAGTGCTAATACTTATGAATTGAGAGTATTTGAAACATTTTAAAGCTGAATTACAATTAGATTCTTAGGGAGGAAAAGGAATTTGTATGAAAATCTGTCATGCTTGTTTTTTTACCACAATTTAGTTTAGAAATTGTTAAATACATTCATCATCAATAAATTGAGCAAAAAATTTGTTTCATAACTAATATTTTAAATGTTAATTTTCTTATGTCTTTATTTAGGCTGATGAATTTGTACTTGTATAGATTTTTTATTTTGCAAGAGCTCTTCATTGCCCATCTTTTGTGTGTGTTTAAATGACATTAATTATAAAATATTAATTTTCTGATAATGTATTTTACATTATTTTTAACATTGCCCCAATGGTATGTGGATTTCTTCCCCAAGTCTACATAAACACACTAAAAATATAAGTAAATTATCTTTGTATTGCGGGTGTGATTAATTATTCAGAAAAATTTTCATTAAATGTTACTAAAATTAAAGATACTTCATGTTTTAAGTTTAAATATTAGTACAAGAACAACTTAATCAACATTCCCATCCTTAAATAAAAATGTTAAAATTTGATCTAAAAGTAAACTTATATAATGTTTTCTTATAAACATCTAAACTTAAATGTATTCAGAATTGTGCTTATGTGTGTTATTAAATGTTCTTTTGATAAGTCACAATTACAAGTACCGTACTTGAAATGACAATAACAATCCTGTTGATAAAAGTTTATCTTTTTTTTTTTTTTTTTTTTTTTTTTTTTTTTTTTTTTTTTTTGTCCTTTATATAATTTTTGTAAAAGTAGATGTGAAGCATGGATTATTGATCCATACAGGAACAAACTTTACAAGTAATTATCTTTTACAGATGCAGTTCAAAATGTGGTACATGAACGACAGTGCGGTCAACTTTCTCTCAATGAAGTATTTCTGTACATTGTGGGATGCCCAGATATTCAGGAGAAACTTGCAGACACTTCGGCTGAGGAGTCTGTTTGGACATACGTTTCATCAGAAATGTCTCGATTTGGTTATCCAATGGGTGAACAGGCCCCCAAGAAATGTCAGCAGAAGTGGAACCACATGGTTTCGTGTTACAATGCTTTCCAGAAAACAAAGAAATGGGATGATGAGCATGAGTGTCCGTCGTTCTTTGAAATGTTAGATCAAATTTTGAAACCTAATTTACAAATCGATGAAAAAAATGCTATTGAAGTGATATCAGTAGCAGCCAACAATGAATCTACAGTAGCTGAACCTCAGTCCAAGAAACTCAAGTTACAGCAAGTGTACAATGCTGATTCCCTCTCAAGTTCTGGGTCTCAGTGTTCTGAAGAGAATGGATTGTTGGAGACCTCTGAAGTTGTTGATGAATCAAACAGCGTATATATTGATTTGGTATCTGATTGTGAAGGTGTCTATTACGACGAACACATTACTGTCTACCCTGAAACAAGCAATTCTGAACTCACTGAAGAAGTGGTGCTTTCTGACGTGGTGGTGGACGGAGGCAACAGCCAGAACGTCTATGTGGTAGTGACTCCATCGTTTTTTGATCATTCAGTGTTTTTGAAAGATTCGGGAGGTCAAAGTGAAGAAGAAGAAGAAGAAGAAGAAGAGGAGGAAGAAGTTGCAAATGAAATAAAATATACGTACCTACCTGTTGTGGAGGGCTCCAATAGCGATGAAACGATTCACTTTGAAGTGGAGGAAGGGGAAGAAGACGAGGGAGAAGGGAATTTAGCTGAAGCAGGCAACACAGAAAGCAACCGATCGAATATTTCATTGCGCCCTGTCCCTACTCCTGCTCAAGCCTTAATGGCACTTGTCACTAGAATCGGGAGAGAAGAAAGAGAGCGAGATAACTTGCGAAGAATACACATGGAAAGGAGTTTTGAAGCTCTGGAAAGTGCCATTTGGAAACAGAATTCCAAAATCAATGAATTGACAGACAGAGCGACTGCACTGTTGACCGACTTGCTTCAGGAGGATTCCTCTGATAGTGAATAAACGATTAGGAAACACACTTTTCTAAAGTTACATTTTTGTTATTCTTTATTGTTCTGGGTAAAATCATACTTGCTGTATGATTGTGTATATTGCTTCTGCTGCATCATTTTCATTTAATAGATATTTTATGATAATTGTATTATATGTTTGTTTACTTTTTTAAATTATCCTATGATTGTTGTCATATGTAAGATTGAAATGTAATTAAATTGTACATAGAATTTTATTGTGTTTCAATACATAATTGACTAAGAAGTTAAATTTCATTAGTCTTCATCATTAAGTAGTAAGTAGATGAATCATCATGTCTATTAAACTCTTTCCCTCATGACTAAATTAAGCTTTCTCAGTGTGAGGAAGCTATTAGGAACATGCTTTTCTCAGTTCACTGGTATATTCTACACTTTCTGTATTTCATGGTAAATGCAGAAGTTAATTATCTTGAGGAGAGGATACATAAAATTTTGAGAGTTTCTAAAATGAAATGTCTTAACTATTATGTTGAAAATATCCATCAAAGATCTAAGTTGCTTTATTTTCGAAACAAAATAATATCTAGTCATTGCAAAAAAATTTTGTTAAGACCAGAATTTATAAGAAACATCTGCTGGTCAAAATAATTTTTTTTCAGTGGAAGTAAATGATATAATATCTTCCATTTCATCATTGTCAATGTGAATAATTTTCTTCCCAAATATTCAATTTCCTGGAAGAAAAATGTGTTTTATGTTAAGGAGCTAGAGAGTTTGTTCCTATTCATAATTTGTGTAGAAGCAGAACGCGCTTCACTGTAATCCACACAAACAAGATTTTTATTTATTGGCCACTTTTACCAAGTTAGAGAATCCTGGATTATGGAATTTAGAAATGCTTCAATAATTTTAAAAAATTAAGAATATTTTTATTGTGGTTGAAGAATAAGAATCTAGTTTTTGTTGAGGTCATCAATGTACTTGAATTACTTTTTTGCATACTACTTATGTAGTATAGAGAAATTGTTCTAAAGCTATAGCAGAAAATGCTGATTTTTGCCAGAAAAACTCATATTGTGGGACATCGCATAAGATAATTTTTCTTGTTCATGTAGCAGATTGTCTCTAATTCATCTTTTAGTCAAAATCCACAATTTGTGGGGTCCTTGATACTGAGAATTTTGTTTTCAGGCAACCATTGGTCTGTGAATAATGTTAAGGTCTGGACAAAACATAAGAGTTTCACAAAATTTGACATTCTCTGTAGGATCTGGCTGATGTTAAGGCTACTTGAATTTGAAACATATTTTAATTTCAAATGGTGCTTTACACAATGCCCCAACATTTTCAAATTTTGCTTACAAATGACTGTCGTTTCTTTAAATGTTTTAGTAGAAGAGAGCAAAGCACACTTATTAAAGGCATAGGCCCAAATTTTATTGAATTCTCAAAATTCTTGAAATTAGTAAGAGTTAAAAGATTTTCAAACCACTTCACCTACAGCATTTTTGAAAGATGTTTTTTGTCTATGAAATTTGTTCTTCACTCTTAGATCTTTAAATAATGTTAGATACAGTGATTTCAAAATATGAGTATTTCACGTAATTTTGAATGCAAGAAAGGAAAGGTTAAAATATACATTAACAAGATTTCTGGAAAATTAATCCAGATTTCGTCTTGAAATGTTTTGCACAAATTGAGAAAAGTTCACTATATAATAAACATAGATCATATTTTAATTAAAACCTGGAATATTAATTTTTTTCCCCTCGCAAACACCTTTCATATTAAAACTAGTTATTACTTATATGGTACAATCTATTCCTCAACATTAGATCTGTCATTCATTTTATTGTCATTGTTTTCAAAATATTTGTATATTTTTCTTAATTTTTAGACACAGGCAAATGGAATAACTTCACCCACTTACAGTTATCAATTTGAAGATGGTGATATTCTCTCATTGTAATTAAATTAAAGTAGATTCTATCAGCTCTACTTTACACAATCCTATTCAGATAAATCAAGGCATATGTTTTATATGCAAAGTTCGGAAATGTGTCCAAAGTATCCTAGGAAACTGAGAATCCTTCGGCCACTGCTGACTTACCTACGTTCGATATTCTCTTCGACCGCTCGAAATCCAAGGAATGTTTCAAGAGTTCTGTGAATGACCCACTTTAAGATTGCTCTGAGCTCTCACTTGTTTGGGAATTGGAGATTTTCTTTTAAATCACATCTCATGCGAGTTCCAAGTTGACCAGAAGCCTAATGTGAATGCAATTCTCGTTTTTCAGGACCTAGGTATTCAAATGCTGGCTTTTAAGATCGTAGAAAATTGTGATTGGGGCAAGGGGCCCGGTATTTCTTTTCATAACCATCTAGTCTCGTTCTCCGTGAATCGTGTTTGGTGAAATTCAGCTGGGTGGAGGGTTTGGGCCGGCGAAGGTGGCTCGTCGTCAGCTGAGGTCACTGTAGTGCCTATGACTGGAAGGTCCTAGGGTTCGATACTATAGATAGCTAGGTCGCATTCTGCCGCTGCCTAGAAAAGAATTCTAGCGGCTGGCTGCTCTGATCTGACCAAGGTCGGCCCAGAATTTCGGCATCTTCCGCGGTAAGAACAGACATTTTCGGGACTAATGGCCTTAGCAGTTAACGCTCCCGGAATCATCAATCAATCCAACACATGCAGTTATTCTCTGATTTGAACCTCTTCTGACTAACTTTCGATTTGATTTTTTTGATCATAAAACTGAATGTGACGTATTGGGGAGAAGATCTGGGCACGCTTTCTTGTGCTCCAGAATCCCTTCCCAACATTTTAACTATACATAGTTGAAAGACGAATAAAAGTTTAAAAAGAAAACAAACAATATAATTTTAAAGAGCACAAGATGAACATTTGAAAAAACTTGCCGTTTTGTTCCGGAGTTGTAGAAAACTTATTTGCATTGGTAAACGAACTGCAGATTTGATTTTTCTGCATTGCTAACAAAATAGCAACTCGCCCTTACCATTACAAGCAAAAGGATAGTTCAACAAAACGTGCGCATAGTGAAGCTACATTTACGTCTAGAAGCAAAATAAGGTGCCATCTCAGCATTTGCTCAAGAAATCAGGGACACGGGACAAAAATATGATCGAGTTGGGGGGTCATTGACCCGGAAACTAAAGTACTTTTATTCTGCGCTTGTCTGAAACGAAGCTAGATTCATCATAATCGACGATATTCGGTGGGGGAATATCTTCTCAAAATATTCAAGAATTTCAGCTGCGCCGTTTTAGATCTGGCACGTGTAATGCCCTAGGCCAAAGGAAACGAAACATTTTCACGCCTTCTCGAGCGTCCACTCAACCAATCCTCGCCAGTCAAATTGTGAAAACAGGAACAGTCATTTTTTCTGTATTTAATAGTAGTTTATGCGATTAGTTTATAATTTTAAGCTTTATTCCATGAGTAATGTTTTTAAAACAAGCTCCTTTAGGAGTGAATTTTCAAATTTGTGCGATTGCAATAAAGCGATATTATAAACGAGTTGCATACTCTATTTTTTGTACAACAGCATTATAAATTTATAAGAGGATCAAACCTAATTTTTGCGAAACAACTTTCTTGCGTCGTCTTGGGTACTTGGCTTCTGTGGTCGGCTCTTCTGTTTACTGCTACCTCACGATTTCTTGGAGCCCAAATGGTCGTTTATAATGCTGGTGTACAAAAATTAACTTTAGTATCATTCTCACATTTGCGTTGGAGAGTGTCTCCAAATGGCTTACTAAGTGAGCCCATGAGCTGCTTCTTGCTAAATAATTAAATGTTTGTGTGAAGGGCTATCAGTTTAAGCGTGTTTTTACAAGCAAGAAGTTGTGAACAGTTCATAACAATTAATAAAAAAATAAAAATAATCATATGGAAAAAATAAGAAAATTACCATCAGTGCGTTTGACACATGATCACCCAATGTTGCCCGTGTGCGTCTCTCTTGCGGCACGCGCTTGTCGGAGGCTGCGCGGATTGAAATTTTGGCCTTTCTAAACTCTCTCTGAACATTTTGGAGATGCAACGTTTCCCAGCGTTTTGTGTGGCCGAAGTTACCTAAAAAATGTACCACCCTAAATCTGCACAACCAAGCACCAATAGTAAATTGCATAAATGTGGAGGATCGCGAGACGTGACGGATGTGGCATACTGTTAAAGGAGGGCTACTCAAAGCGCACAGCGCTCAACGCCCCAAGGGGCTTGCAGACACGATGCAATGGAGACGCAAAACGTTTAAAAAAATCAGTTCAAGAACATTTTTTTTTTTCGAAATGTAATTATGTACTGTAATGTAACTAAATGTTTTGATGTTTGAGAAAAACGTACTGAAATGTGAACGTTTGAGGCGCTCCCAGAAAATAAGTTTCCTTAAGTCGTTAACACAATACACTATTGCGCCACTCGTCATTCCGTGGGAAGCACATTGTATTCCCGGGCGGTGTCAACGCCACCTGCGACTCTGCGTGCGTCGCTGTGACTCGCGTGAAGCCCCTCGGGCAGGAGTCTCTTGGGGCGGGGCGAGAGCCGGGCTGAGGTGAAGGTGGCCGTGCGGTCACCATTACGTGTATGTGAGGGACGTAGAGTGCAGCTGGCTCTCAAACATGGAACCTAGTCCAGGTGATCCAAAAAGTCCATCTTCATGTACACCTCTCAATTCTAGTTGTGATTATGTGGCTGGGTGGCCAATTTCTGGGAAACTGAAAAAATAAGGAGTTCATTCCTCTAGAAAAGTCACGGAAAAATCAGGGAATTTGTAGAGGAAGCGGGAAAAGTATGAAGAAATGTTTCAGATGGCAATAAAACTATCAATCCTTACGAACATCAGTACGCCATCATGTACTCAGTTTTCATTTGTTTAAGAAATATTTTTCATTTGTACTTTGTCGCAACGAAATAAGAGAGCGACCAAATAGTAGTAAGTTAGTTTTAATATTTTCTTAAAGTGTAAAATTATAAATCTTACCTGGAAAAAATGCACTAGAAAAACGGATAAATCAGGGATATTTGTTCCGGGAAGTGTGGTCACCCTGTGTGGGAAAATAGTGCCACGTCTGGAGTTTTCCACAAAATATACATATTTCCATACTACGGAGTTTTCCGGCGTCGAAACCGATTTGCTTAACTGCACTCCGTGAAGTCACGGAAGTTCATTAACTCGTGACACCACGGGTTCCTGGATAGATGCCCATCGGGGAACCCCTTTTACAAACGGCGCGGCGCCGACCCCTCGACCGCCCTGACTGCGACGTGACGAGACAAAACAACTTAACAATGTCGTAGAAGGAGCCAGAGACGATTTCTTTTGGTTTGCGGCGTGGGGAGACGCGCTTCGCAAGGAGAGGGTGCGACGGCCGCCTCTCTGTCCCCGGTGCAACCCCGGGCTCGGTTCCCGGCCGGGCCGAACCCATGACTGGGCCTTCCCTACAAGTGTGGCGGTGCCTATTGCTGCGTGGCGATGAGGAAGGGTAATGAAGAGCAGGATGTGCGTGGAGCGATGCTGTCGCGCTGAGCGCACGAGCCCCTTGCCCCTGGGCCGGGAGGCGCGCAGCGGCTGTCGAGGCGAAGGCCCCAGCGTCGGGGGCTCGCTCGCGCCTCGTTTATCTAGCAAAGAAACGCGTTTCGAAAATAGTGTAGGTGTAAAAAATAGATCACCAGACAACCGAGATATTTCCTCTACAGCTGGGAAATCAATGGCCACGTTCGTGTTGAAGCCATTATCCTTCAAAGTGAGATGTTTTCGATGTAATACGTCACTGCCCTTGTGCATCAGAGATATGCGCTCGTACGATGCATTTTTGGGTAGAGAACTGGAGGTCCGTGCTTTCTTACACCATTCCTTACTGGTTTCCTCTTGACAAACGATTTCGGGAGTTTTTACTTTCTCGTTACGGAGTAGAGAGAAAAGCTGCGCGAACAACCTGCGGATTTTTGGCCGGAAATCTCTTCCTACGTGCCCCGGCAATGAAAAAGTGGATATATCCTGTTGCTCAATTTAGAAAGAGAAATCCTCTAACGCGTGTTCTAAAGCCCGTGTTTTGTGATAGCGGAAATTCTATTGATGGCAAGACGTCGAACCGTCTGTGCGCATTGCTTGCGGCTAAACCGCCGTTTGTTTGTTTACTTACGTCAAAAACAGTTAAAATTTGTGTATGAAGAGCTATGGGGAGAAGTTAATTTAAAGTTACATTTATGTCCAGAAGCAAAAGAAGGGGCCATCTCAGCATTTGCTCGAGGATCAGGGAAACTGTCATTGACCCAGAAGCTGAAGTATAATACTTGTTACAGGTTTTTTACAAGTATACAACCCAAATGACATATAATACATTAAATATCATTTTAAAAATTTATATTACTCTCCTTTTGGATGCCCAGTATATACTCTTAATTGTATAGAAACAGTTGTGTAGCAGAAAATATTTTACTTGGGACTTAAATTTTTGTATTGAATTTTTAATCGTTTAATGTTATCTGGCAAGGTGTATAATAATGTACATGTATTATATGTGAATTTTTTGTAGTGAGCTATTGATACTGTTACCTGATGAATGATATTACTCGAGGGTTGGGGTTGTAGTTATAGACAATGGCGTTTGCTGAAAATATATTCCCGCCCTTTAAGTAAGTCATTTTTGACAAAAGCCACTGATCATATATTAAGAGACAAGGTAATAGTAAAATACCTAGATTAATAAAGAGAGGCTTACAAGAGTTACGTGGTGGGATTTGCTTATTATTCGTACAATTCGTTTTGTAATCTAAAAGTCTAGGAGCTATAAGATGTATTTTCCCAGAATATTATGCCATATCTCAGGCGGGAATGAACATTCGCGAAATATACACAACGAGCTGTGTGGAGGCTGACTAATTTGAAAGAATTCTGAAAGCATAGCATAAAGAACTTAATTTTAGTGTTCAATTCATTTAAATGGACGTTCTATTACGTTTTGACTGAATTGAAAGACATAAAAATTGTTACCTTAACATCACTCAATGGCACGCCGTTCATTTTCAGTGAAGTGTCGAGCTGTTTATTTGAAATGGGGAACTGCATTGAAACAGTTTTTTTTTTTCATTTACCATTAATTTGTTATTACGGAACCTATTTGAAATACCTGAATTACTATTAACGGATTCTTTATTGCAAAGAATATTTGTATCATCCGCAAAGAGACTGTCCTTCCGTTTTAATCGTTAAGGGCATATAGTTCACGTGTAGTAGGAAGAGAATAGGGCCTAAAATCGATCCCTGCGGAACTCCACATGCAATTGGCAAAGAATCAGAAAGGTGTATACATAATGTGCCATTGTTCCAATAATGTATTTCTACTCTTTGGGATCGTTGTTTATGGTACGAATATAACCAATCTAGAACAACACCACGAATTCCATACGAAGGTAATTTTGAAAGTAAAATGTTATGATCAATGACGTCAAAAGCTTTTGAAAGATCTAGAAATATTTCAATAGATGCTTCGTTTTTATCCATGGATGAGGTGACATCTTGAAGAAAAGATAATATGGCTGTTCTGCAGATATTCTCCAAGAGTGACATTCGGTAGTCGATCTCACTGATGTCGCGGTCCCCTGCGTTTAAAACGGATATTTTAATTTTGAAGTGTACTTTACATGAAGCAAGTCTCACCACTGTCATTTCCTGTTCAGCTCGTAACGTGATGTAAATATTTCCTCCGGTCTCTGCAAAAAGGAACTCGAGCAGTGAAGGTGACATCTACGCTGAGATGGCCCCTAGTTTGCTTCTGCACATTAATATAGCTTCACTATGCGCACGTTTTGTTGGGCTCTCTTTTTGCTTGTAGTGGAAGGAGTAGAGCTGGGCTTGTGTTACTATTTTTATAATAACGCATAATGACCCCTTTTTAGTTGGCTAATTTACAAAACACTTGAAATTTTCACAATTTTGTTTAATTACGTTCTTTACACTAACACAACGTTCACACATGGTCATCTTCAGGCTATGGAATAAATTACGTGCAATTACAAAAAACTATAGTTAATTACATTTCTTAAATATTAAAACACAAATTCCTTACTTTTAGTTACATATTTTGCTATCAATACAGAAAAATCAAATCTGCAGTTCGTTTACCGTGCAAATAAGTTTTCTATAAGTCGGGAACGAAAATGTCTAGTTTTTCAATTGTTGCTAATCTCGCACATTCGTAAATTTTTTTTAGACTTTTACTCATCTTTCAAGTATTTATAGTTAAAATGATGGAAAGGGATTCTGGAACTCAAGAAAAGTTGCGTAGATGGTATTCTCCCCCATACGTCACATACAATTTTTAAAACTAAATAATTAACATTTCTTCCAACGTACAAATGAAGTTATGACCGTGCAGGAAATAGAAGTGATTAGAAAACAGCACAAGTGGTAACCGTTTTACTTCTCCCCGCATAAATTGCTTCACAGCCGAATCCAGTACACTCAAACGCGCTTAGAACGCGCAAACGAGGCAAGGTTCCGGGAAGAGACGCCTGGAGCGTGGTTTTTCTGTACAAATTAGATCTAGACTGGTGCGTCCCTTTTCTGTACCATCGAACAATGAAGTTCAGTGGGCAAGCGGGTTTGACAAGAGTTCTGCGTGATCCTCACTTCCGCCACCATCATACAGACATCCCGGTTTTCCGATAAAAAATTGCCTCTTGCACGAATCTTCAAGATGTTTGGAACAGCGCTAATAGACATTCATCTTCGGGTGCGCGAAGTTACAGCACGAAACAATTGCGAGCGTGGTTTGTTCCACCGAAAAGTCGAAAGCGCTCTCCCTTTGATGTGATTCGAGTACTTTTACTCCCTGTTCTATAGTGTAGGAAGGAAAAATAAAGTTAAAAAATTTTTAAAAAATGCATAATTTTGTGTAGTAGGGAATGTGAGACAAACTATAATCACTATCAATAATTCGAACATTATCATACGTACGTTCATTTAATTAGTATGTGAATATTTTCTTCTTACCATTTCCCCGTATCTAACTGTTAAGTTGTTAACGTTATAATGAAAATGTTTTATCATTATTCGTTAATTACGAAGAAACTATTTCTTTGTTCCAGGGCCGACCTTGG